ATTCTGACTGAATTCTGACAATAAAAAAGTCAGAATTCTGAGAAAAAAGTCAGAATTCTGACTGAATTCTGACAATAAAAAAGTCAGAATTCTGAGAAAAAAGTCAGAATTCTAACTTTTTTCTCAGAATCCTGACTTTTTTCCCATACTAAACTGAAACAAAATGTAAAAATCAGTTAACTTTTTTTTTTTTTCTCCCACTGGCCCTAATCCTCTTCCGTACGATTGGGATCAAATCCTTCAAAAGTAAATTTTAAGTGATTATTTTTATCCTTTTTTCATTTTAGATGAAAAGGTAAAAAAAAAAAAAAAGAAACAAAACCCCCCAAATTTTGTTTTTTGTAATATTTTGTTCATCTAAAATGATTAATAATTATACTAATGGCAGAAACTTGTGCCTTTAGAAACTCAATATGATATTCCCATAGCAAATCTATATGTGCAAAATAAAAAAAAATGAATTAACTGGATTAAAAGTTAATTTTAATAAACTGCAACTGTATTAAATTATAGGAAACAAAATAAATAAATATCTGAATTTTTTTAATCATATTTTTTAATCTCATTTTAGAAATATGTTCTTCAAACAATATTGGATTAATTAAAGTAATTTACAATTACACTTTAATATTTTTATTTAAAACAAGTAATTACAAAAAAGGATTCTAATTGTTTGATTTAGATATTAAATTGTATTTGTTTTTCAGTGACTAAGGTTGGCATATACTTAGGGTTGGGAATTGACATGATTTTCACGATTCCGATTCCCTTATCGATTCTGTGAAACAATGAACTTGGTAATTGTACTGTGACATTCGTCTACCTTCACCTGGGACGTTCTCTTTCTGTCTGCCTCAGCGAAAACAGAAGGCAGTGAATGGGAGCTGCCAGCCTCAGAGCCAGCCAGGCTACCCGTCTCATCACAGTCATCTAATGGGACGCCATTTTTTTTTCTTTTGCTTTTCTAGACAGATGCCTGGTCACATCGTACTTGCTTACTGAATGCAGTGTGCGTAACTTGTGTAAAAAACGTGAGGTAAGTCATGGCTGCTCTGGTGTATCCTGGAATCGATAGGAGAATCGTTAAGCGAGCTGCCAAACGGTGCCATGGAACTGGAACACATGGAACCGGTTCTGAACAGTAACCGGTATTCGATTCCCATCCCTACATATACTGTATGAGTTTTTCCCCAATTCTTATCCGCCTCACGATGCATCCTGCGTTGTGCAGCATTCAGGGTGGTAACGAGTGATTAGCACAGTTAACCTCGCGCACTGCCCCTGTGCAAACAAGGAAGTTCCTCTTCTTCCACATTGATGTGTCCGACCAGCACCATCTCTCCCAATCTTTTTAAACATGAGGGGTTTTTTTGGACGTACAGTGTGAGCAGTTAGATAGCATCAGAGCATCCTGCCATACAGTGTAAGAACATACATTGTGAGCTGTGAAATGTTAAATCCTGCAGTTTCATCATGCAACTGTAGCCAATTACGGATGAAAATATCGTACAGTGTATGGGCGCATTTAGGCTTCTATAAATATCATTGAAATACATTTCTGAAAATGCCCCAGGTAGGGGGCCCGGAATATTATTTTGGAACATCTTTTGCTCAAATATTATAAGATATTATAAGATTATAAGATGTTTGCAAGGAACTTGCAGCTTTATTCTAACGTGTCATAAAATCTTTTCCTATTAATACTTTATTTCGATTATCCACTTCAGTGTTGGGAGGTAACCCTACCAGCCATTCCTCTGCACAAGATGAGGCTGCAGCTTCACTTTAGCATGAAGGGTACAGCAGCTCTCACCTGAAGAAGCCGCCTCAAGCCGGAGGTACAACTTTAGATCAAGCTGAATTTTAGATCGCCCTCACCTGCAAACGCCTGAGAAGGCGGCCATAGCTTAAAGCGCTCTGATGGAGCAAACAACTCAGCAGTTTCTGGCAATCTTTTGTTCCCTATCTTTGCTAGATTAAGTTACTAAATGGCACAGCTGCAACAATGCTGTGGTGGAATTCAATAAATAAACAATCCTACTGAACAGCCTTAAATCTTAAGAAAGATTTTGAGCAGAACTTTTTGTGGTCCGATTCAAACATGTGACACAAGTAGAAATCACACAAGTAAAAAATCTATAAATGGGATCAAATGTGATTGGAGCAGGTATGGAAAGACAATTTGCCACATATTTCAGGAAATAAAAAAATTAAAAGATCTTCATTTGTAAATATAAACATTTAAATGTTACCTGAGATGCTTACATTAAATAAATATTGTATTTATCCTCAATAAATGAAATAATTATTAATATTTTTATATATTAATTTTATTTGTATTTAAATTGTCTGTTTGGTTCTCTCATATAAATATTTTTCACTTATTTAATTAACTAGAATTTGAATAAAAATGAATAAAACTCAAAGATTGATCAATCAAGACTTTATATATATATATATATATATATCCATGTGTATGTATGTACGCTACATAAAAGTATGAATTGATGGGAATGTTATTAATGTTCCCTCCTATAATAAAAAGACTTAAAAGAATATTCCACAAAATAGATAAAGATTATTATTACAGCCCTGCATGGTGATTAAAACAACAATTGCTCTGCTCATCTAAATATAACATTTTGCACTGAGAACAAATAATTTTTTCATGCATATTTTTCTGGAATTAAGCAGGTGAGCGAGACGATTTGCCAATGGAATAAAACTATTTACATTTCAAATAAGAAAAGACAATTGTGGTCTCGTAAATCATGCATAATATCGAATAATATCATAATATCTAATTATGTCATCTTATTTACCAATTCAATGTAATAACAGTTATTTTAAGACATTGTTTTATTTTTTGCAATCATTATATCTACAATTACATATAAGTTTTCTAAGGTAAACCCCATTTCTGGCTTTCAATGTTGTTTTGTCAGTGAGCCCCAGAGAAACTGTGGCTACAATGTAGCTTACCTTCATGTGCTTGAATGGTTGAATGTCTGAATTTAGTGTAAAGCGCTTTGATCAAGTCTCCTGACTTGAAAAAGCGCTGCATGAGAACAGGCCATTTGCCTTTTATTTTATTTATTTATTTATTTTTTACCATTTACATGATATTGGAGGGGGGGAATCTGGGGGCCCTTGCCCCACCTGTAGATATGTCCCTGAAATGCAAACAGCTCTTTCATATCTTTGTAATGAATTTGAATAGAATATATCACGTTAAATGTTTTGCATAAAAAACTTTTTTTAAGTAAAGACATATTATTATTTTGTTGTTGTTTTTTTCATTAAAAACAACAGCTTAAACATTTATGATTAACTTTTAACATTCTAGCCTTTTAAAACCATTAAACCATAGACATATTTCCCATCATACCTTGCACACAGGCTAAGGTTCATTCCTGTATACCTATAATATGACCACACAAATAAGGTGTACTTTAAACTTACTCAGCACCAGCCGGTTCCTCTCCACTCAACAGGTCTGGAGCTCCCAGACAATCTGAAGTGTTTTGGTTGGGAAGACAACATGATGATGTGGACTCTCCTTTCATGGCAGCTGAAAACACGCTGTTGTAAATTCCCCTGGAAGTGCAGCACCAGTGGAAGGGGGGTGGGTGGGTTGGTGAAGCCACACACACACACTTTAACCCACTATCTGTACTGCCAAAGCTGGAAGTCTGCAGCAACACCCAGTAAAACTTGTAAATAGAAAGTCAGGAGGGAGGCGTGGTGGGGCGGGAGGAGAAGGAGAGTGAGGAGAAGTTCCACATTACATCAGCAGCAGCTGTTGACAGGCCTGTGTTTATTAACTAACTGCCAGGGCCTCAGGAAGGTGCTCCACAATCCTCACTTGGATTAAAAAAAGAAAAACAAATTCATCCAGCTGACAGATATTCAATGAGGTTCAACACCTTCCAACATTTAAGGCTCTCTCTGAAAACAGACATACTGATATGTTTGGAACCACTTAGGTCTCCATGTTTAGCTGTTTGCTACCTGTCATCTGTGCACATTGGCTGTGAGAGCTGCTGACTGGACTTAAAGAGGTGCTTTCCTGACTCAGACAGCGGTGGGTGCTCCTTCCGCTTACATTCCTGCAGTGTCTTTTAGGCTTGGCAAAGGCTCCAGCCTCTTAGCTCAGCCTGCATTTCTCTCCCTCCCTCCCCTGCTCCGTTTCTGGTTCCTTTCTTGCCTTCCTCATTTAAACAGAGGCACATGACTCACAGCTTAACTGCCAAGTAGATTTCTGTACGCCGGCAGGGAGCCACCAACACCTTTAGTTTTCATTGGCCTTTCTGCGGGGACCTCCTTAACTGCATTCCATGCTGCCATCCATCCAGGACTTAATGGACCAAAACCAATCAGTCCAATTATCTTTATTATTTACACTTGATATCTTTCAAAGCTTTTGCTTTAGATTTTGCAGAAGAAAATAATTTAAGTTATTTTCTTGAAACAAATTTTGATATAAAGCAAAGAAAATGTAATAAATACACAGATCTCTTTCTACAGGGGGTATTAGGACCAACCTAACATAAAAAACAGCCATGATATTACAAGAATAAAGTATTTAACACTACTAAAAAAAATTCATAATAAGTCTGCAAGGATATTATTGTATAAATATGAGATTAAGTCATAGAATAACAAGATTAAAGTCATATATTAAGATATTCAAGTCATAAGATTACAAGTTGGATCAGTCTTACAGTCTTAATGTTACAGGAGTAGGCAGTATATTACCAGATTAAAGTTGTAATATTACCAAAATAAAGTTGTAAATTTACAAGTTTAAAATCAGAATATTGGTAAACTAAAGTTGTAACATTACCAGAAAAAAGTCATAACATTACCAGATCAAAGTCGTAACATAACCAAATTAAAAACATAACATTACCAGATCATAGTCATAAAAATACCAGATCAAAGCCGTAACATTACCAAATTAAAAACATAACATTACCAGATCAAAGTCATAAAAATACCAGATCAAAGCCGTAACATTACCAAATTAAAAACATAACATTACCAGATCAAAGTCATAAAAATACCAGATCAAAGCCGTAACATTACCAAATTAAAAACATAACATTACC